AGTCCTGTTGAAGAACCTACTCTGCCTCCCCCCACGCAAGCCATGACAACGGCCCCTGCACCGCGAACTCGTGACCCCAACCATCGACGAATCATTGTTCTCATTGCGAACTACCGCGACTCGAAGCGCTGTGGGGAAACGCTGGAGTCGATTTTCACGAAAGCGGCCCATCCCGAGTTGGTGGCCGTGAGCATCTTTGACCAGTTGAACTACGACGAGAAAGAGTTGCCCTGTTTTGACTCGTACTGTCAAATTGTGGGCGAGGACAACTGCAATCGCCGCGACCGACTTCGTCTCAACGCGTCCATCAGCTACATGGATGCCACCGGTCCCACGTACGGCCGGTACCGCACGGAAGAAGGCGTCGATCTGACCATCGACACGTTCGCGCTGGCGATCGACTCCCACACATTGTTTGTACCGAACTGGGACATCGAAATGATTTCCCAGTGGGACTCGATCAAGAATCCCAAGGCCATCTTGACGGTATACCCTGACGGCACGGACCGGTACCCGAAGCCTGGTGAGGTGCCGAAGTTTGTGACGCTTATGTGTCACGCTCGTATCGAAAACAACAACGAAGACTCGATGGTGCAGTACTCGTCGTCGATTCAGATTCCATGTCCGCCGAAACCGCAGCTGATGTCTCAATTTGCCGGCGGATTCAACTTTGGCACAGCTGAGTCGGCGTTGGAAGTGCGCAACGATCCGTACACTCCGTACTTGTTCCACGGCGAAGAGTATTCTCGAGTCGCACGTCTGTTCACCCACGGTTACGACACGTACATCCCGACACACCATTTATGTTTTCACTGGTATGAGCCCCGCAAAGCGATTTGGGACCACGAGTGGGACAAACGATCGGTCATTGCTCGTCGATCGCAACGCCGCATTCGAGCCGCGTTGGGTCTGCCAACCTCGAAGGATGACTACGACAAGACGGACTTGGACAAGTTTTCGCTTGGCACGAAGCGAACGATGGAGCAATTCATGGCATTTTCGGGCATCAACCCGACCGCGTCGTGGATCGAAGACAACGAGCACCAGTTTGACGTGTGCCCTCCCAAGGACCTCCGCTACGTACCATACGTGGG